TGAGCGCCATAATTGCCAGGCACATCCGCAACCGATCTGTAAGTGTCACTACTGGCTGAGTGTCTGGTATACAAAGAGAACCAGTGTCGCCGTACGACAGAAGGACCTTGCGTCGTCTGAACATCTAACGTGTTTTTTGTTTTGCTTTACTTTACTTCCTTCGTTGTGTTGGGCACGAGTAAAATCAGCCAAATACAAGTTGTTCTTTGCTGGACTTATGAACACAGTCCGATAACCCGAGTTTTGTGATATCCGCTTTCCCAAAGTCTATTTTTTACGTCACTACCATTGAAGCCCAACGCCTGTACTAAATCAAAATCACCTTGAGCAACTGCAGGATAAAGCCCTCTGCGGTAAAGTATCGAGCGTTGAACCGTCTCCTTTGTTCCCCCACATACTCCACACACTGTATTTATGTCGTGACATTTCCCCCGCTCGTCACACGTCTGTCCTGGCGTCGAACAAAAAACAGCTTTCCCTAGAATTGCGTAGATACTTCCCTTAGCAATCTCCATCCTATATTTTCTACGTGTCCTCACAGGCAGTTTTATCTGCATTCCAGCTTCCCATCTTTTTCCCTCCGTTGCTTTAACTTTATTTTTAACGGCTATTTCCTGATCTGCGTTCCCATCATTGCCCAAGAATGTCGACCGTAGTCCTTGTTCGCTTCTTCCACCTTATATCGATGAGCTTTATGTACAAATAGCTAAACATTCTTCGTGTCCATCGTTTTCCCTCCATGTCTCGTATCTCTCTTCAAATCATATCTTAAACCAGATTCCCTGGCCTCAAATGATGACCATCCCATATCAGCCTGTGCCCCATGATTCGGTGTCTTACCATGCGCTCCCAACACCAGCTACCCACGGCGCTTTACCCTACTTTTAACCTTGATTTTGTATCAGACTTCGTACACAGGACATCCTTTCCAAAAGTTAAACTCTGCTCCATAACTACCTTCCACATTTCCCTCGCCGTGTCATACCTGCTATAATCATGCAAAGCTCTACTCTTTATTACAGCTGCATTTCCGTTGCCCTTACAAGTTATATACATTTTCATGCTCACTGAGATAAACCGCAGTGTCATGAATACATACCCCCCAGGACTTAAATTTACCTCAATCGCGAGTTATTGTATTTTAAGCTCTTCATTCTCGTCATCATTAAAAATCTTGACACGTCACTTATTGTAATTAAATTTTCGACCTAGCCTTCCCCCCCGCCCCCCCCCCCTCCCCCCCCCCTCGGTACCACATATATTCATTATTTCCTACAGATCCATACCGTTATCCGCCATAGCAGGGGCGTAGCCAGGGGGGGGGGGGGGGGGGGGGGGGGGGGGCTCATGGGGCTTCAGTTTCCTTCCCGAAATCCTGCCGACTCTATAATATACACATGCATTTTTACCTCCCCTTCCCTTCCCCGCACCCCAAGTCATGGACATCCCAGCCACCTCAGCCCCCACCCCCTCCCCCGAAAAACATTATTGGCTACGCCACTGCGCCACAGGCACTACATCACTTGCATACATAAGATAAGGTAATGCCTGTTTAATCTTTTGACCTGTCCATGTCGTACGTGTGTCTTTTTCGACCTGTTTGTTCGCGCCTTTTAATTTTTTAATCGATATGAACCAACTAGCCCCATCCAAAGTTTTATTACAAAACCACGACCACGTATTTTCCAGCTTTCGCTTCTAATTGGTTCTGTTGTATTTCCTTCCCATGTTACTATTACCATGTTACTTCTGTAAAACATAAAAAAAAACTCCAGTTACCGTGCCGACAGCAACACAGCGGTGCCGCGTCAGAGCCACGCGTGTGTATACACGCAGCTCGTACTCACGTTACATCTTCTGCCATTGTGGCGGCCTTGAGGCTGGACCTGTAACTTTTGCAGCAAATATCTTGCACCACTTAGTTTTTTTTTTTGTTTTTTTTTCGGCAAAAGCAAGTAGGAAGAACCACATGCATGGTGCGACAACGTCGTGTTCAAAGCATGTATTGAGATGCCGGTCCCTTTTTATTCGAGCGTTTGGGAGACCGGTCGGCTCCATATTGTCTTAGAATAACTTGGAAAACAGGAAAACGAAAGCTACGGTCCCAGCGAGCCAATGGGAGCGACGGCGCAAGGCACGTGACAATTCACAGCATCGTAGACTGGAGTCCTTTTACACCGCAGTGCAGTCCTCCTGTGAAGAGCTGTCACCTGATGCGCTCTGTCGCTCTAATTGGGTGACGGGAGTCGTAGCGTCCGCCCTTTGTCAGGTTGTGCTGATTAACGAAAGCTTACATATGAACAGGTATAAGAGACTGTTAAAACATGACCTGACAGTCGTTTTCTTGCTCTCTTCGAAAGTTTGAGGGAACAAATATGCAGTGTGAAATTCAAACAGTACAGTCGATCCGCCCGTTTTTGCCTTGGACAAACGAGGATATTCATTTATGTTGCCTGTAGTCGGATTTTAAGAAACGAACAAACACGCAGCACATTTGTCATACTTTTTTATTTTTGTAATGACGTTGCACCTTTGCAAAGTTTCTTCTCGACCCTGGGACCTGTGCCTTGTCGAACTCATGTATATTTTTGTTTTATTATAAGCCAGAGGGCAGAGAAAAGATAGAACACATAAAAATTCAGACGGACATACGGAAAGTGTAATGTCACAGCGCATTCACTTGGCCTTCGTGGGTTTCGCCGATAATATCCCTTGCACATAAAAATTAAAAACGCCGGCTGTGACCTTGTAATTTTGATACTGCTTGATTGGTCCAGTCGGCTTGTCACGTCGGCATTCCTCTGACGTGTGGTGAAACAAAATATAACAATAAGAAGAGTCGGTTTTAAGTGAGCATGCGCTAGAATCCTTTCGTCTATCGTTCAATCCCTTCGAAAGGAAGTAATTGGCATACGCTGCTCGCGGACGCACGCTGTGGTCTTTCTACAGTCAATGAGTCCAGGACTATGGCCAATGCTTTGTTCGCGGCTTTGGACCTAATCGCGAAACGTGATGAAGACGACTCTACGATTCGGCACAACTACCGCTTTATCGAACGCCTGCTAGAGGATGACACCGAACAGCAACAAACTCCGTTGCGTTCGTCTTCGATCGATGCTGACGACATCCGTTCCACCAGGGGCCACGTCGTGGGCGTCAAGCAGCTCGTCTCCGAAGAAGTTCGAGGGAGTCTTCTGAAGGCTCAGTACCAGGACGTCTTCCAGCGCTGCTCTTGCGAAGGTGCCGTGGTCGAAGCGGGTGCTCTCTCGTGTGTCGTTAGAAACGGGATTTCCGTTGAATACAGCTGCCGGTGAGTGCGACGCTTTGATGACGTCAACTAAGAAGACCCAATTAAAGATGTGCGAATACCGCTTCGAGTCGAATGACGGAGGGTCATCCCTAGCTTGAACACTGTTAAGAAGACCGGTTGTCGTGTTACTTCTTCCACTCTGAAGGTTACAAATGACGCGGCGTTATTCGACTCGCACTTATATTCGCACACCCGTAGAAGCAAGTAATGCGCTACTCGGTTAGCGGAACTGTGTGCCCAGCGGGGATGTACAGTCAGCCGTAAAAAATATTGACAGAAGGGAGTGATTACCCGGTGGCGATAAGGCGACACGGGGCGCTTCGATAACGTAAGCACGCCTGGGGCCGCCATTGCCCCATTACCGGATTAGTTCACTCTTAAATACACGGGGGACATCGGCACTAACAAGATTATAACGAAGAAAAAAAGCCTCGTCTCACGCGTGCCTCAATAACAAATCCAGCCGAAAAAAAAAAAAAAAAAAGTTTATTTCTTGTAGCACTTTTGCGCTTCAAAGGTGGGAACGTCCATGCAACTCTCGCACCCCGTGTAATCGCGAAATACAGCGCCGGCCACGAATCACTTGAGCTAAGCCGCCATTTGCTCGGAAGGGCCGCACGAGGCACTGGCGCCACTTGCAAGACGAGCGCAAGCACATGAGGGCAGTAAGCGAAGCGTGCACTTTACCAAGGGGTCTTAGGTGAACAAGTTTACGCCTTGCACGGCTCTAGAGTTTGTTTACCCGCCAGATGCACTCACGTGGTTTTGTTTTGTTTACCCCCTATTTCAACCAATGACGGCGCGAGCTTGGCTTTCTCCTCATCGAGCCGCGTTCGTGGCGTGTTCCCTGCGCTGCCCTTTGGTTGGTGTGTCCCTTCTTGAATTCCTTCGCGCCAAAGGCGCATTTGGGAACACTAGCTTGCCTCAGAGAGAGTTATTGAGGACCTACTAAAGCTAGTCAAGTGCACTACTCCTCTCTTCGACAATGCTATAGAAAAGAACCTTTCTATCTCTTTTTAGTACTCGTATTATAAGTAAAAACATGTTTACGCCCTTTTAACATAATTCTTTTGATCATGCTTTAAGGGCAAGTTCCTTTTTCCTCCCCTTTACATTTCTTCTTGCATTTAGTGGAAGCGGCTTACCTCCTCTTCAGTGACAATCGCCGACTCATAAAAAAATAAAAAATAATTTTTTTTTTTTTGTAAATGTAAATTTGTCTATAGAGTTAGGGATAATGTCGGTTATGTTTGGAGAACTTGGTAGTTTGAAAAAAAAAAAAAAAAGGACACTGGGAGAACACACACGCACAAACAAAAATGCAAGAAAGAATTAAATCCTGGGCAAACAAGTTGAGAAAAATGTGGGCTTTTTTCAGCACAGGTCTTTATTGTTTAATTTTTTGTTATTTTTATATTTCGCATTTTTCCTGAGGGTAGTATAACTATTTAAATTAATGAATTGCTAGAACTGAAAATTGATGAACGAGATATTTCAAAACGGAACGAAAGACGAGTAGTTTACACGTGGGCGTCGGTCAATAATGAGTTCCATCTCCCAACACAGATTGGTGATCATAATGAAAGGAAGCAATTGTAGGGCTGAGGTGGACGCGTTTTTGACTTGCCATAAAGCGGGGTGACACTAACACAGGGAGTAAATTCAAACTTGCTGGTCGATTTTTGTGTGGCTACAGGTCCCACCTCCTTGCTCGCCTGCTAGTGCAAAAGCCTACTGGCAACTTCTTCGAGCCGCATTTTACGATGTTGCTGAGAACAGCCAACGTCTCGGATTCTGTCAGGATGTTCCACGTAGCTGGACCTTCGACGAACTCCAGAGCGGACAACGCCAGGAATCTAAGCTCTGGCAGGAATGGCCTCATGGTCCACTGGAGGACGGCGGTGGAAGGTACTACGCCAGTCTCTGTCCCACAACGCGCAATCGCCCATGCGTAGGCGCTCTTGATAACGTCGTATTCCTTGACGCACAGCCGAGGGCTCTTCAGTATACTGAGCACGATTTCCATCGACGCGGCGATGAACCCCTTCGACTCCAGGACTTGAACACCCCTCATTTTCAGAAGCTTGTTGATGGGATCGTCGAAGTTTGCGAGGTTGCCGTTCTTTGCGCCGTATTCTAAGACGTCGCACACGTCGGTTGGCAGCATCGATTTTCGAATGAACCTGTGGCAGGCTTCCACGAGCTCCAACTCCATGTACTTCTCGGCGGCTGTTCGCGTGTGCAGTGCTTGGTTGACGTCGACAAAGGTGGCTTTCTGGCTGTAGAAGTACCTGAAAGGAATGCGAATTGGAGGACGGTGGTAAGAGAAAACGGAAGTGATGAACTTAATAATGATCTTGCCATACTGCATTCGGGAGGCGTCCAGAAGTGCTGGCGGGTGAGCACAGACCGACTCATTGATGGAGACAATAAATATCAATGCATACCTATAGACCAACACATTGTTTACAAACAAGTCCGCGTTTGCCCACAACAGGTGCTTGCGCCGACAGCAGCACCACCGCAGTGATGCGACGTCAAAAACGCGCGTTTTTTATGCAGCGTGGAAACTAGAGCTTTTAAGAGAGTCCACTCCGGTTTATCTTACATATTAAGAAAATAATGCAATTCTCCTTAGTATCGCCCACAGTGGTATCGCCTAATCTACCGCAGCGAAGGCTAAGCTAAGCGAATGATGTACCGCAGCGAAGGCTAAGCGCGAGCTCATAGCGTTGGCAGCTGCGCTTAAAGGGACACTGGCAGGGTATTTCTGTTCGCCAATGTTTTTATTTTTGCGTTACATCCAAGGGTCCATGCTACCCAGGACACAATTTGCGGCTCGAAATTCGTTGTCTTTTCGCCCGAAAACCGCCGATTGAGAACTGGCCGGTTTGACTCGCGCTCACTCTCTTCTTTCCGTGGTCACGTGTCACGTGCCATTTTTTATGGTTTAGATACACACACCAAATATAATGTCTTTGGTTTTCGAACGCACACTCAATATTACAAAAGAAAAGAAAAATAGAATGCTAATTTCTTTGTGGCTTCTAGAAACAGCAAATACGTTGATCGAAAAAAAAAAAAAAACACCGAAGAGATTCAAGATTGCTTACGTGTTGGAATGCGACAGCATTCCTACACGCAACGCATTCCTTCACGCTGCGCGCCACGTCTTCGCTTTTCGCGCGGCGCTCCAGCGGTGACATCACGCTCATCACTGCGCATGAGCGGCGAAACCCGCCGTCTTCACGACGGCTTCCTGGACGATGCATCTGCGTTGCTGTGCTTTTTTTGTCTTTTATCTCTGAGGCGCGTGCTTGATGACATAATGTTGTGACATTTTTTGGGGTACAACGCCGCTGCTTTCGCGTAATAAAAAAAAAATAATAAAACTTTTATCTTAAAAAAAAAAAAAAAATTGCACACAGAACCGGAAGCAGAACCGGAAGCAGACTAACTCTGCGTAGCTCTCAAGATGGCGTCGTATCCCGGACCCGCGGAATTTTATCCTAAAAGCGGTGAACGGCCTCAGAAAGGCACTTAAGGTAGACGGATTTGTGGCTTGCCCATACTGTCACACGGGTTTGCGAGCCAGCGCGCTCGTGGCCGAACAGTTTTCGTCCTTGACTCCTACGCAAAGGGCTCGAGGTTCGATGCCTGGAAGTGGACGCGCTTTTTGGTCATTTCTGTAAACGTCGCGTTCTGGCGAATTCGAGAACATCGTGGCTATTTCGAGGTCCGAACGTTCTACGCGCCGAAAATTCTACGCAGGTTATTCCAGAAGTCCACGCGTGTACGTTAAGGGGCTGCGCGAAGCGAGCTAAAGTGAGTCTCGCCCCCAGGGTTCGATTCTGCTGGTTCGCCGCCATCGACGCCTGCGACGCTAGCCTTTTTCTATTTTTTGTTTTAAGCACAAGTTCGCCCTATTAAACGTATAGTTTGCTTTAGTTTTCGTCTCCTCATGAGTTGCCATTCGTGACAATATGACCTGGCACACGAGTATGTACGTGGACAAATGATGCATTTGTGTATAGATAAATATGTGTAACGATTAAGATTACGATTGTTAGCAATAGGAGTATTATCGCTTACTTTAGGAAAGCAGAAAATCCATCCGGATGCAAGTCGGTGACGAGAACTTGGTCCTTCTCGGGGAGATTTCCGTAGAACATGGTTTCGAAGACCTCGTTGCGCATGGCAAGAACCATCTTGTGGGCCTTGAAGCTCTTGGGCGGGTCGGAGCCATGCTCCACCAGAAACTCCACGTCGGTGTGCCTTCCCTCCGTGAAGAAACGGAGGTCGCCTCTCTTTGGCGCTGCGACTTTGACTGCTTTCGCCATCTGAGACGCGGCTTCTGTTAAAGGAACATCGGCAGGACATCTTTCTGCACATTGCCGGTCCTGCAAGTGCTCTCCTAATTTTAACATCACCATTATAGGGCGGCACCCGAACGCATGCACGCGGCTTCTGTTAAAGGAACATCGGCAGGACATCTTTCTGCACATTGCCGGTCCTGCAAGTGCTCTCCTAATTTTAACGACACTCTGCAGTCACGTACGAGTTAAAAATGCGCCTGCAGCTCCTCCAACACCCTCCACCAGCCGGTCTTCCTCCGCAATGAGCCAATAATTCGCTACCAGGGCGCACGTTTCGCTGACGCGAGTGAGATCGGTGCATATACTACTCACCCGCAAGAAGAAGACAGGCTAAATGCTGACAAAGCACACCTTAATCCGAGAACGCGCAGCAATCGAATGGTCCCTCCTCGCGAGTCCTGCTGGGCCGCGCCAACGTCTTTTTCTTCCACAAGGGTATATACGCCTAGAGTGCCTTCATGTGGGCTTCGCATAGAGTGATGCCAACTGCCTGTTTCCCTTTCGCACACCCTCTTCCACCGCCATTTTGTTTCTCTCATTGTTTCCCCGTGCGCCGGAAAGTGGCCTTTGTGTCCATCGGTAATCCCATCCGAGGGGGAAAAGGCTAATCCTCCCTCCGTGGGTTCCACAACGCTGCTCCGAACTTCTAAGATAATGTGCTTGTTTCCGGGAGGGTTATAAGCCCCACGGATTATCGCCGAGGAACAAAATGGCTGCTGGTTTGTCGGCGAGTGGTATTACAAAGGGTGGCATCACCCTAGCAAAGCGCACATGAAGGCTCCCTATATACGCCACGTAACACGCCATGGATACTGCCATAGCCTCGGCCATATCAGTGTGCGCCGCTGCTGAGCGCGTGCTGACGGCGAGCTTCCGCAGTCCTTTTGGAGCGTGCATTTAGCACCACCAAGGTTGTCGGTCTTAGCAGGCTATAAATGTGAGCTCGTTTTGAGCATGCGCTCCAAACATCGCCCTCAAATATGGCGTCCAGTGAATACCTCCTATACTCACAGTATAGAGTCTGTATAGAGGAGGTTATGATACTTCAGGCTAGAGCTGCTAAAGTCGCTCTTACCTGCACTTTAAAAAAAAAGCGTAGCTTATTTAGTGGGACTACTCCAGACCTATCCTGGGTGAAAATATCGTAAGGGTGCAGGCGAGCTGGAGAATATTAAGCATGTTGAATTAACTTGAGACTCGTCCTGTCTACTTCCGTCCCTTCTACGTTTTGATGTTTCCTCTCTACCCCAGTCTCAGGTTAATTCAACATGGATAATATACTGGGTGGTTTGCGGAGCGTTTCGATGCGGTGGCATGTACACTAACGCTTCGATCCCACTTCGGGCGGTCCACAAAAATCGGTTTTTCAATGTATCGAGCTAAGATTTACTAGAGAGGTGCGGTTAAGCTGAGACTGCAGCCAATATGCCACAAGCACGAGAGCTTGAGGTCGCTGCTTTGAAGCGTTCTTCCGCAGAACGAGTGCTTCTGCTAGAAATGCGCGTCTAAAAACCACGAGCGCGGAATAGTTCGCGCTTGTAGCTTTGGCTGCGGTTCCAGCTTAAAAGGGCCAGGACATCAAAATTAAGCATGCTCGATTACTCGTGGTATAAAGCACCCATAGGTTACCTAGTATACACAACGAGTTTCTCGATTTTTAGAGCGCTATTAATTAAAATACTGAATCTTTCAATGTCGATCGTTTGCACCTGAAGACAAGGCAACCTTGGCAGAACACTGACGTAACCAGCCCATAGGAGTCGTACAATTGTGTCTGAAACCACGTAATCAACGTGACTACGATCACTTAGCTGAGAGCTCTGTAATTCTTGCTGAGTCCTGTTGAGCCCGTGCTGACTGCGAGCTTGCACAGTTCTTCTGAAACGCGCATTCCGCAACATCAAGATTGCCGGTCTTGGCAACTTGTTAATGTGAGCTTGTTCTGGGCACGCGCTCTAAACATCGCCTTCAAATATGGCGTTCAGTAAATGCCCCTGTACTCCATCCACCCTTATTAGCTATCAGCGGCGATATGTTTTGGTGGCGCTCTTGTATGGTTCCATCTAGAGTTCCTGTATAGGCTCCCTACGGGAGCCAGAGTTGCGCGTTCATGCATGTCATGTGGATACAGCTCCTCACGTGACTGAATTCGGCAAATAGCAGCGCCGCGCGTTCGAGGCGCGCGGCGCGCTCAAAAGCCGGTGTACGTACGCCGGGGCACGTGCGACGTCTACTTTGCTGCACGGCACTTGATACGGCTCTCCACGTGATCACATCTCGGCGAATAGCGGCGAGGGCGGCACGCGGCAACGTGGAATCAAACGCGCAACTCTGGCTCCCGTAGGGAGCCTATACAGGAACTCTAGTTCCCTCTTGTGACGTCATTACCTTGCGAACAACAGTTTCGATGGTGTTGGTAATGAGCATGGTGGAACCTTGGAATCATAGCGCTCTGAAACAAGCACTGCCAACACCGTCAAAATTAAAGCTCTTACCCCCCATTCACACTGGAAGCGGATCCGCGTTCGCGAAGCGGTTGCGAAAGCGGTTGTATAAAGATCTAGTGCAATTGCACGCGCACTTGATGTCATCGTGCGCGCGTGCAATTGCACTGAATCCTTATACAACCGCGTTCGCAACCGCTTTGCGAACGCGGATCCGCTTCCAGTGTGAATGAGCCCTTACTGTGCTAGAGTTCATTCCTTCTGCTCCGCCCAGTCAAACGTCGCGATGGTAATCTTTAGGGTGAATGAATCATATATATTGCCCTGCATGTTTTTTACTCGCTCGCTGGCAGTCTATTGCTTTGCTTTTTTCTAGCACGTCGACTGCCTCCAATGGTGTAAGTGCGTGTGTGACCTTATTACGCAATGCTAACAGAACCTATTAAAACTGTTAAACATGTTAAAACCGGTTAAAGGGTTCTGTTTAGCGTGAAGAGATGTTTTCTATTATTTAAATTTTTTTTAATGAAATCTTGTATAATTATGCAAAAGTTTATATGACACCCCCTTTATGTAATGCTCTTTTGGCGCCTTTAGAGGTATGTAAATAAATAAATAAATTTCTGTCAGTAAGAAATTCTTTGCTGACGTCATAGCCAGCATTTGGCCAATCGTGGAAGACCGACCACAGCGAGGCTTTGGATCGCGCAACTGGCCAATATTTCGTACTTAAGTCAAGGCGCAGCCGACGCTATACGAGCTAATGGCTCCAATCAAACTGCACCAAAAGTGCACCATCGTGGTGTTGGGCACGATTTTTTCTGTACGTGTTCTATTATCGCTGAACCAACCATCAACAGAAAAGACCCAGTGACTTGCGCTTTTGACGCTCCTTGATTGGTGTCATTGACTCATAGGGTCGGGAAATCGAAGTACAGAAGCTTCGCCTTCAGTGCGAGCTTTCTGCCCTTGCTAAAACATGCGGGAACGCGCAGGCACGCTCAACCAAAGCACCGCGGAAGCCAGTGATCTCGCGCTGAAGGCGGAGCTTCTGGTCTCAGCTTAAAGACCGACGACCAATTTGCGCTTCCCACTTTTCCCTGGCTTCCTCCTCTTCCCCCTTCTATTCTGTCCACCGTTTCCTGTTTCCTCCTCTCCTATGGTGAGGAGGATTTTCTGCCTTGCAGAATCTCGAGTCTGGTCGTCAGCCTTTAAGGGTGAACGAAGTGCCGTGTGCGTGACTGCCGAGCGCGTGCTGATGGCGAGCCTCCACCGTTCTTTTGCAACGTGCATGAGCCATAACCTGGTATCACACTGTACTGGTACTCCGTTCACCAGGCAAAAGTGAGCCCCGATTGGCCGCCGCCATGTTGCATATTTTTCACCACTGGACAGGTGACCTTATAGTTTTACGCCTAGATTTTAACGAAGTACCGCGCACAAATAATTGCTTATTGATGTTTAATAACGGTACCGACGAGATAAGTCATGTTGCGTTTGTTTTAAGTCCAAGATTTACTTTTGCGACAAATACTCGGGCAGCTTCGGAATGCCTCCGCTAGATGCCGTCGGCCGCGGTGCTGTATTTAGGGATTTTATCGGAGCTAGGCGCTGATCTCTGGGACTAACAGTATTGAAAACATACTTTATAATGCTTTTCGCAGCGATCACAATACATATCTCGGCTCAATTTTGCTTACAAGCCTCAGGATTTGGTACAGTTGCGTGTCTAGTGGTAAAAAATGTGCAACATGGCGGTGACCAACGGCCACCGCCTTTTGCCAGTTTATCACTCTAAGTCCCTCTACCTCGGTGATTTCAGACCACCAAGATTTCCGGTCTTGGCAACTTATTAAAGGGTTCATGAAACGAATTTTGGGCTGGGATGAATGATTTTAAATTGGGACTTTACTAATCGCATATCGTTTAGTTGGCCAAAGGAAAGAGGGTAAAAAGGCGAAAGCGAGCTTTTCGGTGCGAACATTTGAAAACATAGCGGACTATTGTACCCTCTCTCCTTCGAAAGCTCTCCGCCTTTTCACTATGACACATCCGCGGTTCCCAACGCGCGTCAGCGGTGCCAACCTGACGTCAGCCCAGCCCAGCTCACGCATTCGACACGAGAACTGCGTTACTCGGACGTATGCGCTCGTCTACAATCAATCCGTCGACGAATATTTGGATTCGCTTTAGTGGCCAATGAGTGCCCTGACGGAACTTATCGTCACTGGTGAATGTCAAGTTCCATGGTGGGGGTGCATAAAAAGCACGGTGGAAGCTAGGAGTCATGGCACCGGTGCTGAGGAATGTCACGACGACGTGATTTCACAATTCGCATTTGAGTTGAGGATTAAAGCTAAAAAGGAAGAAGTAGGAAAGTCGTTTCATGATTCTTTTGATGTGAGTTCGTTCTCTGCCATGCACTCTAAACAGCACCCACAAATATGACGTTCATCACACCATCAAAATTGCAGGTCTTAGCGATCTATTTATATGAGCACGTTTTGAGCATGCGCTGTTAACAGCACACAGAAATATGGCATCCAGTAAATACTCAATGTAGACCTTTCCGACAAAGAGCGTGTGGCCATCTTGAGTGTTCATACGCATGGCACGTGCTTCCTCGCTTTCCGAAGCGATGAACACGCGCGCACGTGCTGGGCTGTAAAAATAGCACGCTGGACTGTGATTTTGTAAGCATTGGAAAGGTCTATTGGCGGCAGAAGTTTAGTACCGCCACCTAGTGAAATGTTTTCCCAAGCCCGAGTGAGGCTACTTTAACTTCCTCAGCTGGTGCAAGCACGTGCAATGCCAAGCTCCTATTCAGTATCAAAATTAAAACATAACTACGTGGGCAGCACGTGCACTACCCACAGTGAGGAAAATTGAAGCTCCCCTAAGCCTCTGACCGCGAATAGGGGGTATTCACTGTTGAGGGCGCCGTTTCGAGCGTGTGCTCAAAACGAGCTTACATTAATAGGCTGCTAAGTACGGCAATCTTGACGGTGCGGAATGCACGCTGCAAAGAGACGTTGGAAGCTCGCCGCCAGCACGCGCTCGACAGTAGCGCACACATCTACAGTCGCCAGTGAATACTCTCTATTGGCGACGTGCGCGATCTAAAGCGTCGCTGTGGTCGGCCTTCCGCGATTGGCCGAATGCTGACTATGACGTCAGCAAAGGATATCTCTTCGACGGAAATAAGAGGAATGGAAGAACTTCGATTTCGACGGTATTGGTCGTGTTGCTTTAAGAGCGCAATGATTTCAAGCTTCCACCATGATCCTTACAAACACCATCGAACTTGTTGTTCGCAAGGTAATGACGTCACGAAAGGTAACCATAGGAGGGCGCCACCAAAACATCTCGCCGCTAATAAAAGCCTGAGTTGAAGATTTTGAAACGCCAGTGAAACTAGGTTATAATAAATGCACTTAAAATTTATTTCCGTACGACTATATTTTCTCTTTTTTTTTCAGGCCGCCCTGTCTCCATGTGCGCTTGGAGGGACTCCAGTCGGGGCGGAAATATTTTTTCTCCCTTGACCTGTCTGTCGTTCGAGGTAAAATTAGTTTCAAAGGCCTGACGTGTCCCGGTAAGCCCAGCGTCAGCTGGATTATACATTTGAAAGTAATTGTATTGCGTGCGTGTTTACACAGCGGGCAGTTAGTCAGCTCCGATGGGGGTCTCGCATCTCCGCTCTAGAGCAGTCCGAACAAAACCACTGCTATCCTGGGGTCTTGAACGTGCTTCCTGCACTAGGGATAACACTACCGCACGTCGGTACGATGCTGGTTTAGACCAAAACTGGCAGGTGTGGGGATTCGACCCATGATCCCTGGATGGTAAATTTTGCTCGAATCGCACGGGAGACGGGCTTTTGGGATTTCCGCGGAAACCAGAAAGACGGAAAGCACTTCTCAAAAGTAGGGCTTGGCGAAGTTTTACGAGACTGGGACTGTTCGCGTCCAATTCCTTATCATTTGTGAATAACGCCTTGGTGTGACCTCAAAAAGATTAGAACTTAAAAAAAGTATGCTTATGTTCAAAATTATGAGAAAGCATGCCGACCTTTGAAGCTTGGCGTGCAAAACATTCGTGCTCGCACTGAAATCATCGTAGTTACTACATGTCTTCGTGCGTATTGTAATATGAATAAAAAAAAGCCATAAAAATAAGCCTATTTTTAGATTTTAGGTATATTGTACATTTATAGTTGCAGTTCTACCTGCTGTATATTATTAAACAAATCTTTGCGAAAAGAAACACTTTTTAAAGCGATCTTTACGGGCGACACTTTGCAGAGATTTCGAGGCCGTCGGGTGTCGTCGCCCGTTATATAGTATAACTCTTCCCTCTCCTCTCGGCGCGAGGCTAGGGTAGTCGGTTCTTCCCGTTGGCCGCACCACGCAAAGAGAGAGAAGAGGGCAGCCCCGGCATCGGTGCCAGTAACGGCGCCACGGCGCAACGAAGGGGAGTATTCCGTGTAGTCCGCTTCAAACACTTGTTTTCAAACATTAATCGCGTTATCTGAAATCCCACTTCCCAGTTGCTACGCGTAATGTTGGATGGTTTTAGAAACTTCTTCCACCACGCATAACAATCTGCTTCACGGACCACCGAGCACTCGTGACGGTCGTCAGAGGCACCCACGATGCCAACCACGACGGCAATGAGAATTAACCACGTCGCACCTCCGTCCTCAAGTATACGTGACGGCAGCATTTTGCGAGCACTGCGCGACCGTGCTACAGCTATGGCTTTTACTTCTTCGTACATTGTGACCGTACAATACGAAGTTTCTTCCTTTTTTTTTTTGTAATAAATAGCTCTTATTTAAGGAAAAAAAATCTGTTCCTTGTTATATTCTTTTATGCAGACGCTTACGTTCGAGTGACTTTGCCAATATTGTTTTTTGAAACAGTTTTACACCTTCTCATTTGCTTAAAAATATTACAGGGCGTGTGCCAAGGCAAGAGTGTCTGGACCGGTTTTCTCGAAGCAAAGCAGTCGTTTTCTCAAAGTTTAATAAACACTTTTAAATCGGGGCATGTTTGCTGGCCATCTCTCCCGGTGGCTAAAATAGCCGCCAAAAGGCTTTTTTTCCCGCATGATCGGCTCAGAGAGCAGAAAATGTCCAGCGTCCCCGCCGATACGTTCAGCAGACGCAAGCCTTTCCTCTCAGGGGGTAGAAGCTAAACTAGTTAGTGGTGCATATTACGACGGTTAAACCAGCTGAACTATGAAAATAGGGAGAAAGGATTAAAGACCAGCGATCGCTTGTCTTTACTCCTTTCTCCCTATTTTCGTAGTTCAGCTAGTTTAACCGTAGTAACCTTTCCTCTCGTTTTCTTTTATTTTCACTTACAGTACCTTCATTAGAAAAATCCTTACAGGCTGCTCCTAACGTATACCCAAATGTTAATTTCGTCACTGCAAGCATCTTCAATATTTTTCTATGCGCGAATTGGGATTTTAATAGTCGAAGCGATGGTAGAATTACGGCAGCTGTTTCCCTCTATCGGCGTTAACTATTTTGTACTGCATAGTCAAGGCTGGTGTAGCTTTCACAGTGTTCTGACGCTGTCAAAGGTACATGCTCAAGGCCTGGTTTGGCGTCTACTTCGCACGAGAGCGCGCATCTGAATGAGACGCGGAACACGAAGCCACGCGTGCTCTCGCAGCAGTGTCAGGGTGCAGCACTGTGGAAGCTACGCCACCCTTGACAATGTAGCAGAGAATAGTTGACGGCGAGTTTTTTTTATTGGTACCTTGTTCCCTCGGAGCCGGTCATGTGACCAACAAATCCCTCTTGTGGCTGCTTTAGCTGTCGGGAGATACTCCTACATTCATCATCAAACAGGTCCAAGGGTGTACAAGTGTATGAGGCGCGATCTGACCTCAAGCGCTATCATTCGAAGTCGTTTTTTGAGACTCCTATGTAACCAATGGCGGATATACCGAATAGTGGATATACCGAATAGTGAACGCAAATAATAGTGAATATACATATAAGTGGATATAAATAATAGTGGATACACCGAATGGCGTACACACTGAATGGCGTACACACCGAATGGCGAACACACCGAATGGCGTACACACCGAATGGCGTACACACCGAATGGCGTACACACCGAATGGCGTACACACCGAATGGCGTACACACCGAATGGCGTACACACCGAATGGCGTACACACCGAATGGCGTACACACCGAATGGCGTACACACCGAATGGCGTACACACCGAATGGCGTACACACCGAATGGCGTACACACCGAATGGCGTACACACCGAATGCCGTACACACCGAATGCCGTACACACCGAATGGCGTACACACCGAATGCCGTACACACCGAATGCCGTACACAGCGAATGGCGTACACACCGAATGCCGTACACACCGAATGCCGTACACAGCGAATGGCGTATACAGCGAATGGCGTATACAGCGAATGGCGTATACAGCGAATGGCGTATACAGCGAATGGCGTATGCAGCGAATGGCGTATACAGCGAATGGCGTATACAGCGAATGGCGTATGCACCGAATGGCGTATGCACCGAATGGCGTATGCACCGAATGGCGTATGCACCGAATGGCGTATGCACCGAATGGCGTACGCACCGAATGGCGCACGCACCGAATGGCGCACGCACCGAATGGCGCACGCACCGAATGGCGCACGCACCGAATGGCGCACGCACCGAATGGCGCACGCACCGAATGGCGCACGCACCGAATGGCGTATATATATCGACTAGCGTATATTACGATTAAGAAGAAACGGAGTCCCTAAGCCTCGACCCTAGCCCGATCGGCTAACCCCGTGTCCGCCTTCTGCAGAACCGTACAGCGTGCCTTGGCCAAACCACCTGAAGGGATGGCAGTGGATGAAAGATGAGCTGCACTTCAACCTGAATGCCCCCATCACCGAGCACCTCCGGAACAGATGCGTGAGTAATGAGCTGCAAACTCCGATCACCGCCACGCTGACAGTGTGATGGAAGGAATATGCACTCGCCGGACCCATTAACCGCCTCTTTCTCATCACCTGACCTCACTCTCTGCATGGGTGTGGGCGGGAGCGTGATCATGTGGCGAAAAATACGCACGACTTTTCCAACGTGCGAGTAGCTTCCACCGCATTGTCAGCTTAAGGGTCAACGGAGTACAGTAGCCGTCAGCAATAGCGGGCACTATCGAACTTTGATCGTCACGAGTAGGTGGAAATCGGGAGCTATTTCTACTTACTCTGAAGATAGAAAATACCGCGGCCACGATGTTATAATAGATTGCACGCACGAAGCTGCTTTCAAAGTTTAAAGCAAATGTTCCTAGTCCCAACCTTGTCTGTATGGGATATATCATCAATGTTAACGCTTCACTTGCTACATCAAGAGAATGTAATTCATTAGCGCACGTCCCACAGGAAACCATAAATAAGTACGAGATATCAAAAAGCACACTCTGAAAGCTACGAAAGTTGGGGAACGAGGGGCAGGTACTTGCAATGCGATACTTCTTGACCATATAACCGGTAACGGTGTTTAAATGTTGGGTCGTTTTCTGGGAGCGCTTACATACCACCGAACTTTTCCTTGTGCCCCAACTTTCGTAGCTATCAGGAATATCACCTCTGCAGTGTGACAAAAGACGAGGGGAATCATGGTTGACGAAAAGTCCCTATTATATCCGATTGATCCGTATAAATTCAAAAATTCCAGTGGTATCGGCTCGTGCGAGGAGGAGCTGGACAGTATGCGTACTAGTGATGCAAAACTATCGATGAATTGACTATCGATACTATCGATAGTTTTTCCAAAACTATCGATAGTGTCCCAGAACTATCGATAGTCGACTATCGATAGTACTACTGATAGTTTTTCGATAGTCGACTATCGATAGTTTTTCGATAGTCGGCTATCGATAGTACTATCGATAGTTTTTCGATAGTCGACTATCGATGGTTTTTTACTATACTGGCGACTAACGATACTATCGCTAGTGCTATCGATAGTCTTGCACCACTATAGTCCGTTACAACTCAAGAAGGTAGGTCGAGGGTAAGATGGGCCGGGGTGGAGGAAGCAGACGGAACGCTAAAGAGACAAGGAGGTTTCCCCCTCTCTTCTCCAGCGGTTCGTCTGCTTCCTCCTCCCCGGCCCGTCTTGCCCTCGCCCTACCGCTCGCCTCCCCCTTCTTTTTTCGCCCAAACCCCCATCTTCGTCATCACTGAAAGCTGAACCAAAGTTGGGATGGTAAGTGCCTGGGCTAGTTGGTGCCCCGTTTGAAAAAAAAAAAAAAATTAAAGCGATAAATAGACAAGAGGGAGCGACGCAAACTACTAGTGTCGCAAAACTATCCATAGTAAACTGTCGACAGTACTATTGATAGGTTTACGATAGTCGACTATCGATAGTTTTCCGATAGTCGATTAACGATAGTTTTCTGATAGTAGACTATCGATAGTTTTTCGAGTTTTTCGATAGTCGACTATCAGTACTATCGATAGTTTTTCGATAGTCGACTATCGATAGTATTATCGATAGTTTTCGATAGTCGACTGGCGATAGTACTATCGATAGTTTTCTGATAGTCGACTATCGATAGTTTTTCGATAGTCGACTATCGATAGTACTATCGATAGTTTTCGATAGTCGACTGGCGATAGTACTATCGATAGTTTTCGATAGTCGACTGGCGATAGTACTATCGATAGTTTTCGATAGTCGACTGGCGATAGTACTATCGATAGTTTTCGATAGTCGACTGGCGATAGTACTATCGATAGTTTTCGATAGTCGACTATCGATAGTACTATCGATAGTTTTCGATAGTCGACTGGCGATAGTACTATCGATAGTTTTCGATAGTCGACTGGCGATAGTACTATCGATAGTTTTCGATAGTCGACTGGCGATAGTACTATCGATAGTTTTCGATAGTCGACTATCGATAGTACTATCGATAGTTTTCGATAGTCGACTGGCGATAGTACTATCGATAGTTTTCGATAGTCGACTGGCGATAGTACTATCGATAGTTTTCGATAGTCGACTGGCGATAGTACTATCGATAGTTTTCGATAGTCGACTATCGATAGTACTATCGATAGTTTTCGATAGTCGACTGGCGATAGTACTATCGATAGTTTTCGATAGTCGACTGGCGATAGTACTATCGATAGTTTTCGATAGTCGACTGGCGATAGTACTATCGATAGTTTTCGATAGTCGACTGGCGATAGTACTATCGATAGTTTTCGATAGTCGACTGGCGATAGTACTATCGATAGTTTTCGATAGTCGACTGGCGATAGTACTATCGATAGTTTTCGATAGTCGACTGGCGATAGTACTATCGATAGTTTTCGATAGTCGACTGGCGATAGTACTATCGATAGTTTTCGATAGTCGACTGGCGATAGTACTATCGATAGTTTTCGATAGTCGACTGGCGATAGTACTATCGATAGTTTTCGATAGTCGACTGGCGATAGTACTATCGATAGTTTTCGATAGTCGACTGGCGATAGTACTATCGATAGTTTTCGATAGTCGACTGGCGATAGTACTATCGATAGTTTTCGATAGTCGACTGGCGATAGTACTATCGATAGTTTTCGATAGTCGACTGGCGATAGTACTATCGATAGTTTTCTGATAGTCGACTATCGATAGTACTATCGATAGTTTTCGATAGTCGACTGGCGATAGTACTATCGATAGTTTTCGATAGTCGACTGGCGATAGTACTATCGATAGTTTTCGATAGTCGACTGGCGATAGTACTATCGATAGTTTTCGATAGTCGACTGGCGATAGTACTATCGATAGTTTTCGCTAGTCGACTGGCGATAGTACTATCGATAGTTTTCGATAGTCGACTGGCGATAGTACTATCGATAGTTTTCGATAGTCGACTGGCGATAGTACTATCGATAGTTTTCGATAGTCGACTGGCGATAGTACTATCGATAGTTTTCGATAGTCGACTGGCGATAGTACTATCGATAGTTTTCGATAGTCGACTGGCGATAGTACTATCGATAGTTTTCGATAGTCGACTGGCGATAGTACTATCGATAGTTTTCGATAGTCGACTGGCGATAGTACTATCGATAGTTTTCGATAGTCGACTGGCGATAGTACTATCGATAGTTTTCGATAGTCGACTGGCGATAGTACTATCGATAGTTTTCGCTAGTCGACTGGCGATAGTACTATCGATAGTTTTCGATAGTCGACTGGCGATAGTACTATCGATAGTTTTCGATAGTCGACTGGCGATAGTACTATCGATAGTTTTCGATAGTCGACTGGCGATAGTACTATCGATAGTTTTCGATAGTCGACTGGCGATAGTACTATCGATAGTTTTCGATAGTCGACTGGCGATAGTACTATCGATAGTTTTCGATAGTCGACTGGCGATAGTACTATCGATAGTTTTCGATAGTCGACTGGCGATAGTACTATCGATAGTTTTCGATAGTCGACTGGCGATAGTACTATCGATAGTTTTCGATAGTCGACTGGCGATAGTACTATCGATAGTTTTCGATAGTCGACTATCGATAGTACTATCGATAGTTTTCGATAGTTGACTGGCGATAGTACTATCGATAGTTTTCTGATAGTCGACTATCGATAGTACTATCGATAGTTTTCGATAGTCGACTGGCGATAGTACTATCGATAGTTTTCGATAGTCGACTGGCGATAGTACTATCGATAGTTTTCGATAGTCGACTGGCGATAGTACTATCGATAGTTTTCGATAGTCGACTGGCGATAGTACTATCGATAGTTTTCGATAGTCGACTGGCGATAGTACTATCGATAGTTTTCGCTAGTCGACTGGCGATAGTACTATCGATAGTTTTCGCTAGTCGACTGGCGATAGTACTATCGATAGTTTTCGCTAGTCGACTGGCGATAGTACTATCGATAGTTTTCGATAGTCGACTGGCGATAGTACTATCGATAGTTTTCGATAGTCGACTGGCGATGGTACTATCGATAGTTTTCGATAGTCGACTGGCGATAGTACTATCGATTGTTTTCGCTAGTCGACTGGCGATAGTACTATCGATAGTTTTTCGATAGTCGACTATCGATAGTACTATCGATAGTTTTCGATAGTCGACTGGCGATAGTACTATCGATAGTTTTCTGATAGTCGACTATCGATAGTACTACCGATAGTTTTCGATAGTCGACTGGCGATAGTACTATCGATAGTTTTCTGATAGTCGACTATCGATAGTTTTTCGATAGTCGACTATCGATAGTACTATCGATAGTTTTTTTCACTATCGATAGTCAGATTTCTGGCGACTATCGATACTATCGATATTACTATCGATAGTTTTGCACCACTAATGCGTACGCTTTTCCAGCGCCGATCATTCGGTCCAAAAATTACGCGAGTCATTGGTCTGCACCGCGGGCACGGTGTCTTGTAGACCCGACACACTGTTTGCAAAGCACTCCGCGTTTATCCGAACCAGGTGTGGGCACTGCGCGAGTGCAGAAACCAGATTCGCGTGAGGGGAAGCTTCTGCGCATGCGCCACGGCGACAACAGCGCCACCGCAAAGGCGTGACGTCAGAGCCGCGTGTTGGTGTATATTGCGCAGAAGGGAGTTTCTGCGCATGCTCGGAGCGCGTTCTGCAGCGCAGTATACAAGGAGGGCAGCGTGCCAAAGGTGATTCTCGGAATAGTCTGTGCGTGCAGAAACTGAGGGAGGGGAGGTGACGAGAGCCCGCGGGGATACCAAAACGCGGAGCTCCGTTTGGAATGACTAGTGGGTAGACTCAAAGCTGGCTGACTTTGTCTCCACTGCACTCGTCGAACGAGTTCGAATGCGAAGGCGAAATGTCGGACGCCGGCGTTCCTGCGTTCTAACACGTTCGACGAGTGCAGTGAAGACAAGGGAAGCTACGCGGAGA